GGGGGGGGGGGGGAGGGTCGACGAGCGAATGAGAGAAGAGAGAAATTTCGAATAGAATGACCCTTCGTCATGATATTCATTATATTTCCGTCGCGCTACATTTCGTACTTTCCATGAAACTTTTTCGCGAAATGACTAAATAACAGGCATAATTTGGTGCATTTTCTCAGTCGCACGATAAGAGAGAGAATGAAACATAGGAGAACGCGTTCCGCACGACATCAATCGATGTCAGCGGCAGTCACCCCTTGTGGTAAAGCAAGAACCAACGGCGACTGTAATTGACGTAATTACGTTTTTCCCTTACGAACGATACTGCGCCGGCGAAATTATATTTTACCGTATCGATTTCCGTGCGCGATTGAGCGACAGTCTCACGCAGTTAATCTCGTACAGTGTCTCTTCGAACTTTCACCCTCCGTGTCAGTAGAGCGAATTCAACAGGCGGAGGTGTATTGCGTATTCGTTGTTGGATGCATCGGTCGTTACAGAAAAGTAGCCAGCAAACATGTATGAGTTTAATGATGATATAAAGTAAAATTTCTCTTTCAATTTCTTTCGGTAGTAATTTGTGTGGTTTATTAACCTTATTGTTGCCATACAAGACAACATATAAATCCTTCGTCGATTAACCACAAAAAAGTGAAATAAAAGATAGGAATAATTGATTCGCTTTGGTGAAACTAAAATAAGATAAATGTCTCAATTAGTGACAAAGTAATCCCATCGTGAAAATAAATTAATAGATTATTATGATAATACACACACATGTTAAGCACATAATATTAATTTTGTTCGAAAGTTTATGCACTTAGGATTTTAATTGTATTCGATTTTTTTTTATTTATGATAAAATTCTAATTAATTTATAATATGTCTTCAAAAGTGACAGAAGCTTAATTAATGACTTAAAACATTGATTTTTTTCCAATTTTCGATACGAACGTAAGCCACTATTGGGAACACCGCCACTAATTGGAATATTCACCTTAGTTCTTCATTTAAACTAGTCTTATTACATCTGTGTGCGATATGTAGTAGAAATAATAAAAATGTTCAATATTGAACATAAACTTATAGAGTCGATTAGAAACATTGCCGGTTTATTCCTTTATTGGATAACATAGATTACGGTAAAGTACGATATCGCTGAGATTATGAGTTAAAACATTAGATTAATTTACGTACAGTTTGTCGAATCTGATTTGGCAGTCAGTTATGACACACTCTCAGTACCGTTGTAAAGCAATCGTGTGAGCCTTCGACTACACCACAAATGTTAAATAAAAGTTTTTA